AGGCATAAAAAATACATATCTAAAATAAATCTTTTAGCATCCGCTATTAAATATTTAATTACATGATCAAAAACTATTATTAATATTAACAATCATATTATATGCTCAGAATATTATTTTCATTTTCAAAGCTAGCTAGACGAACTATCTAGAAGAGAAGAACCTCTACCCAAAGGACTTTTATTTATAGCTTTTGATAATAAACAGAGATGTTAACGAAATTATCTTAACTGAGAAATTAATATAGTGATATTTTATATTGTTACTAGCTTTATTGTCTTTAATATGAAACTTTAAAATCATATTCAGTATACTAATACACTTTAGATATCTAATTCTTATAGTAAATTACAGTATGAAAATCTTTTTGAGATTACATTTGAAATGCAAGAAGTAATAAATTAAGAATTATACATTTATCTTTCTGAAATTCTGGAGTTGTTATTTAGAAAAAAATTATCAACAACTAATGTTATTGATTTTCTTGTAGATAATTTAAGATCGAATAATTACTGTGACAAACAATGCTTTAACTGCGGAGAGTAAAACAGTGATAATTGAAAGCAAAATTATCTTAAGTGCAAAACTTATCTGCTTACATTAACAGAATTACCTAAATAATATATTTCTAAGTTAGATAAAGGTAACACAGACAAATCAATTATCTATAAACTATATTGCATTGAAAAAGAAACTACAATACTTACTGCATTAAGAATTAGTATTACTCAAAAATCGTCTGCAGATTAAGAAGTTAATATCCCAGAAATATTTGTTCCTGATTTTCTTAATATTAATCCAAATTCAATAGCAAAAGTTGAAAAGTTCTTTTCTATATTGAAAAGATTACAGGAATTGAAGATGAAATACGTAGATAAGTGACTGTTATTTGTGATGGTATTCTGTATCATTATATATAAAATCAAAGAAAAGTATCCTTGACTGATTCTTATTTCTGAATAACTACATGAAGAGATGAATATGCTTCAGACATATGTAGAATTAAATTGGTAAGCTTTTGCATTACATTTATTACATTTATTACATTTACTAGTTTAACATATATTTATATAACTTTTTTGATTATTTCTACATTTAAAGGGATATTGATATCAAATAATTTGTAATATGCTAAGAATATAAAACTGAAAATCAGCTTGTTTAATTTAAGAAATATTATAATCATCATAAGTCTTAGATTCAGTCTGTAACATTTATCAACAAGTGATAACTATGAAACTTATATGATCATATATTAAGAACTATTCTAATCTATCAGTAAAAGGATACTTGACCTGAGTAAAAGATCAAACTGATCACTTTATCAAATCAAATTTAAGCAGGTAATATTAATTTATTTTGTTAAAAATTTAATAGATTTACTACTAATTATTACTAAATTTCATTTAATAGATATTCAGCTATCTTCAAACCATTATCAATTATAAAATAGCTATTAGAATAAACAATCTATTGTTAAAAAAATTGCAAAAAAAGTCTTTTTACTAGTATAGTTAGCACAATATCATCCAATATACTATCTAATAGAAGTTGCAGATGAAGTACAACTGATGCAGCTTGATTAAATCACATGGGATACTGTAAAATTATGTGATTTCTTAGTTGAGACTCTTCAATCAGTATCAAGAACTAGATGCAATTTTAGAAGAAGTGAATAAGATTCTAAAAATATTGATATCTCTAATTTCACAGATATGCTATTAGAAAATAGCTGTGCGAAATTGTAAAAAATTCCTTCAAGTAATTTATCATATTTGAGTTTACTAACTTAAATTTATAATTATTTATTATATGATTAAACATTTAGTTATAGAACAACTTTTTCAAGACAATTAAATATAATGATCTTTAAACAAATGATTCAAGATTCTGACTAGAATCAATTACAGAATGTCAAAGATTTAGAGATCATTTAAGAAAAGATAATTTCGTTAATCTTATGAAATTAAGAAATACCTATAAAAGCTTAGAAGAAGAATATGAATTAAATGAATAATTGATACATTTTACTAGTTTAGCAAAGTAAGTTTGAAAAGAATATGTTACTAAAGTCTTTTATAACAGTAGTTTAGATTCTTTTTTAGGCTAATTCTGATTATAAAATAAGAAGAAATAGCATAGAAAGCTGAAGCAAATATGATTAGAGTAGAAATAATTTGCAAGATTGAAGTTTTTCTCAAACAGATGAGTGAAAGTATTTAAAAAAGTATCTTAGAATAAAGTTAAAAAGGTATAATGAATTATTAATCATATTGAAAGAGATAAGATCTTTATTTAATTCAGATAATAATGATAATGATTATTCTAATAATACAGAAATATAAAAGAACAAAGTTGATCTAATCATATAAGCATTTTATAAGAAATAGTATATATTACATATTTAAAATTAAATTAAATATGAAATAAATAAATATTTTACTGCTTTTTATAATTTCAAATTTTTTTTTAATATAAATAGTAATTAGCATATAAAAATATAAAAAAAATTATTATTTTCTTAGAAGTTTACTATTTTTTCTATACTAGATTAATATAAAATTTAAAATCTTGCAGTTTATTATTATAAATATATATGCATATTATAGAACAAATTTTAGAAATATCAAGAATTTTATGATTAGCATTTTTATACTATAAAAAGAATGATCGATATATTACATTTTTGGTAAAATCACTGACTGTATTAGTTTCTATACATAATATTTATCAGATTATTTCAGAAAATAAATATATTATATGAATGTTTATTATTTGTTTTTAAAATATCAGAATGATTATTTTTTTTAAATCAATTTTTTATTATCTTAAAAAAGTCTGAATACTTTAGAATAGTTTTATTTAAAATATTAGGATAGGCATTTTTTTTGTTCAAATTTCTTTTTTTTTTTGTTTTTTAATTTATTTATTAACTTTCTTTTTTTCTAACTTAAAAATAAAATTTTAGTATTATTTATTTAAAATATAAAGTAGAAATTTAGACCTAATATTAATCTATTTTCTTTTATTTTAATCCAAAAAGTAGATTCAAGATGTTTTATTTAAAAATGTCTTAGATATTCTACTTAAAAATAATTTAAAATAAGTCTTAATTAGATTTTATTTTTTATTAATTATTTTTTTTTCTTTTTCTTTTATAAAGAATATAAGTGATCATTATTATTAAATTTAAATTTGTTATAATTTTATTATTATATTATATTTTTAAAAAAAAGAGAAAAGGAATAACATAATTTTAGAATTAAATAATTCTTATATATTTTAATTAGAATAGTATACTTATTATATATAGCATAATTACATTTATATAATTTACTTAGGTAAAAAGATAAATTTTAATATTAATAATATTTTTTTTAATTTTTTTATTATTAAAAGATAAAAGCTAGAATCACTATTTTTTTATTAATTATTTTTTAACTTTTTTTTTAATCTTTAGCTCTATTTTCATTTTTTTCTTTTAACTTGAAATTTGTAACTTTTATTTATTTTTTATTTTAATAACTTAAATAATTTATTAATTATTTTTTTATTTTTTAGTTAAAAATTTGATAAAAATAGTTTATTCGAAGGATACTTGTAATTATGTAAAATGTTTAAAATAAGGATAATTTTAAGTGAACTATTTTATTATAAAAAAAATGAGTATTTAATTTATCTAAAATTTTTTTTATTAAAAATATTTTCTATCTTTTTTTAGAATTTAATTTGTATTTAGATCACAAGTATAACTTATTTTGAAGGTAATCTTTAAAGTTTTTTTTTTTATTTTTTTTTTTATTAAAAAGTTTTCTTATATTTTTTTTCTTTGAGATTTAAATCAGATTATTGAAAACAATTATCTTCTGAATTAAACTAAAATACTAGTTAATCCTTTATTAAGATTTTCTTTCTTTACATGGATTTTTTAATGAATAATTCTTATTATTATTATAAATTATTTATACTATATATAGTAATTTAACTATTTGACATATTTATAATTAAAAAATAAATAAATAATATATTAAGTCTTATTATATATAGATTATCTTAAATTTTTGCTAGATATATTTTCTAATTTGCTAATCATATAACAAATAAAATTGTATAATATCATTTCATTTAAAAAATTAAATTTCAAGAAATTTTTGATTATTTTATGAAAATTCAATTTTTTATATATAATTGAGAATAAGTAATTTAATCAGATTTTCATATGAAAATATTTTTTTCAAAGCAACTTTTTTTTCTAAGCTCAAGTTTATAATATCTTTTATTATTAAAATTTCAGATATTGAAAAATATACTACAGAAGATTTTATTGAAATTATAAGTAAAAATGATATAAACTAAATTACTTTTTTATTAAATCTAATAAAAAAAATATATATCAAAAATAGAGCAAAGATAATGATGAACTAGAAAGTGAAAAACTTGTATTTTCTTTACTTTTAACTTACAAGTTTCAAGAGTTGTATATACAACTATTTCTATAGAATATCCAGATACATCACCAGAAGAAGTTGCAACTATATATAATATAACTGAATGGAAAAATTATAAAGATGCATTCATTGATGTAAGTATATATTATTTCATAATTTTAATAATAAAATATAAATTTTGATTATTAAAAATTTTATTATAATTTAAGATTTAGTATTCAATCAATAGTGCAGATGTCTTTTTTAGTATACAAATCTCGAAGTTATATATGTGCATTATACAGCACTCATCTAAGCATTGCCGTTAAAGCGGTCAAAAGTATTACACTTGTCAAATTAAAAAGGCGAGACATTTCTGCATAAAATTTAAGAACTCACCTTGAATTCTGGAGAATTGAAAGAATCTTCACAAGCTTAGATCTACCTTTCCTCCATCCTGAACTTAATATGGAACTCGACTTAACTTATGCTTAAATGACTTGTCAAACTCGAGATGCTACCGACGGTTTCGTGCAATCCATCCCAATATAAAGGATGACTATCTGAATTCTAATGATAGGAAAGGAATTAAAAGATATGTTAGAGCTTCTTCATCCCTTCTATCAGGTAGAGTTGATACTTTCGGATGAATCATCGCCTTCCTATGGGTATTTACGGTTAATCTACCAAGACCATTTTGCGCACCTATATCATCATATTATGACCAAAGGAATTAAAACAAAATTAGTAGATTACTGGACCTATATTTCGCAAACATCAACCTTTCCCGCTCTTCTTGATCTGTCAACAATACTCGAAACTTTCAACGAAGAGGATCGCAAAGTTAGTTGCGAATCAGTGAAGGTTTCTTATCACATGGATAATACGGAGATGTCTAAACTGAAATTCGTTAGAACTTTTTCGAATGTTGGCTCAAAAACAAAAATGAGGATAATGTATTAACAAACGAATTAACCACTTACCCTCAGATCCCAAATAGAGATCCATTGTTATGGTGGAAAGTCAATTCTTCCGCTTCCCAATACATTGCTTTAATGGCGGCAGATTATCATGCACTCCAAGTTGCGAGTATCCCATGCGAACGTGTTTACTCTATAGCGAAGTATACAATTAATCTTACAAAATTTGACTTTTTGAACAAACAATAATTTGTTTTGCAAAAAAAAAAATAAATAAAAAAAAAAATCAAAAAATAATTTTAACAATTCCCAACATAAAAAAGTGCTGAAACTTCATGAAATGTGCATTTATAGATTAGAAAAAGTCGATCGATCAAAAATCATTTTAGTTTTGGTTATTGGCTGAAAAAATTTTTTTTAATTCTCACGCAACATTGATTCCCACACAACTTTTTCTCCTATTGTAAACTTTTCTTGTTATTAAACTATGGGTAAAGTAGTACACCGTTCGTATGCTTCCAAAAAAAAGGCCCTTGAACGAATAAAAGCAAAAAGAAGAGAACGACAAAAAGAAATAAAGGAACCATTAAGTCGGCATGATAAAAATGGTAAGTTATGTCAGTGGTGGAGCTACTGAATGGACATGGCTTGTGCTTAAAGTTGACTGTAGACGCTCTCGCTTGGGTTCATCTTTCCTGTCTTAAAGGATACTGTAGACGTCATGGATGAAGTTGGTACAGCGATGAAGCTATATCACATAATTTACTTAACGAGTATGCATAGTTAACTCCTTCTCCCTTCTCTTTTGGCAGTTTGCATCTCACAACTAGAATGTCATATAGATTTGCAGAACGATGTGATAATGGAACAACAACTGCAGCTCCAATAGCAGCAAAAAGAGTTGCTACAGCAAAAATTACTCATCAATAATTTGAAATAGGTTGAGGTCTCCCAGGACTAACGTATACAAGTCCTGGAAAGGCAGAATATACGAATCCTGGGTAAGCTTTATGAATGTGAACTTTAGCATCGATAATGTATTGGTATCCCTAACTTCTTATTAAAATTATAGCAAGGGAAAGTAAGATTTCTCAGGAAAGTAACAGAAATCTTCGACAGCGTTTCATGCTGAAGGTCATATTAAAGACCTAAATAATTAATACTGTAATAAAAAATTATAATTAATGATATGATAAATTAATAAAATACATATTATTTAAGTTTTGTTAATTTCACTTCTGGCGAAATCACTTTGGTGATAAATAATTTACTAAATAATAAATTTATTAATTGTTAAATTCATATTTGATTTTAAAGTAATGTTAGAAGATTTTAAATCAGCTTGAATAATGCATTTATCAGTCCATATTTTTAGAGTACTTTCAAAAATCAGATGCATAAAAAAGGAGCATGCAGCGTTAGCTAGACACTGTTAAGTTTATTGTGAATAAAGTTGAATATATGAGACAGAACAATCCTTTTTATGAATGTAAAGAAAAAAGTGTTATATGTAGAAAGAAGCCAACAATTTAGCCGATTAATTTCATAGTCTTGAGCTTTCATAATGAATTTCAGATGGTCTCTTGAATTTTGCATGACTTTTATCATTTTATAGTTAACTGTGATAAAAATCTTCGTCAGTTGCATCATACTAAGGTATAAGATTAAAGAAGGATAAAGAGAGATATCTTTATTTCAGTATTTTTAAAGTGAATAATATCTCAAGTAATCATTAATATTTTGACTTTCTTAATGCAGAAGTCACGTATGATGTGTAGGCTAAAACAATGTTATTATTAAAGGTGAAAGAAGTTACACTCTAATAAGGATGAATAATTCAAATATTTTTTGACAAAACATCCAATCTAACAAGTTTTGAAATAGATGCTTTTTGATATTATAATAAGATATTTTAAGTAGGTGAAAAAACTTTGGTAGCATTATAGGAGTTTAGTTGCAGAGCAGTTAAAGTGATATAGTTGTAAGCAAGACAACTACTTAATTATTATAGAAGTTATTGAAATATGCTTTGACTTTAATTATCATAATGTCAAAGTAATTGTATAAGATAACATCGAATAAACAAGCCTAATACATGTAATTGTTGATTTGAATAAAAGATTGAAATATTAGTGAAAGAATCATAAGAGATTTAAAGTGGGTAAATTGAAAGATAACAATTGTTGAATCATTGAAAACTTTAACAGTATTCTATAGAAGTGCAACTAAAAAAGCAATAAAAATAGCTGTGATTTTAGGTAATAAAGAAGAAGGAAATACAGTAGTGATTAGTGCAGTAAAGGATTTTATAGGTGAATTAGGTGAGTTTGCAACTACATTATACTTATTCGTAGAGAGAAAAGGTCAATATATTGAATTATTAGAATAGAATTTTAAATAGTTAAATAAATGAAAGAAGATGAGATATTTAATAATTATATATTATAAGAGGGAAGAATATATTTATCAATTAGATTAGAAAATATCAGAAAATAAAAGTCAAGAAATCATTAAAAAATCTGAATTAAATATAAAAAAAATTAGTTAAAATAAGGATTCTATAAAAAAGTATGCTATGTTTAGTATCATAGTATTTATCTTGAAAATTATTGAAATAAAAACATAAAGTTGAATTAAAAGTGTAAAATAATATAAAGCTTGATTAAAATTTATCGTATAACCCTTATCTTGATGGAAGAAGAATGATTACATATTCTGAATACTGTGTAGTGACAGGGATCAATAAGTGATAAATAATATTATAAATATATATTGTTACTATTTAATTAAGTGACTCTACTTAAAACAAAAGATCTGTCATTTGTATTCTAAATGATAATGAAATTTTTTGAATTAAAAGAAATTTAAATAAGATGTTAGAAGTATCCATAATAAAATTTGTATTTAAAAAAAGTAAATATCAATTATTATTCAAAAAGAAGCATTATTCCATTATAGTAAACTATGTAAAAATTCTATAAAGTATTTTTCTACATTTGTAATTGTATAAAGATTACTATACATAAACTTATAGTTTTTATGATAGTTAATCAATTGTTTTATAAAGAGTATAAAGTATTTCCTTAGATTATACTAATAATTTCTATTCATGTTTAAAATCAAACATAATTTTTTATTAATATAGTGATGTATATTAGATGATATTATTAAGAATATATTAAAAACTTTAGAGTATATAATAACGATGTGAGTCAGTTATCATTCTTAGTAATATTAGTAAATGACTAATAGACTAAAAAACTTTTGTATAACCATTCTTTGAGCTGAAGTTGTATAGTCTTGATGTAGAATGAGATTTCAAGAATGTTTATTATATTGATTATTTGAAGGATTATTATGTTAAAATTTTGTAAAAGCTATTAGTGTAAAGGAACAAAATTGTAAAAGTAAAAAAATATGTAAAGATTTGATATGACAAATTTAATTTTTTTTATAGGAAGTTTAAATAGGTGATCACTATTTATTTATATTGAGAAACTGATAGCAGTGTGAGTTATTATCTATACTCCATTTGAGAAATAATAACTGTATTGAAAATATAAATTAACTGTGAGTCAATCAATCTTTGTTTTTCATGATAGTAACTACATTTTTTATTTTTGTATAAAATTGATTATAGATAAAGATATATTAAAATATAAAAAAATCCAGATATTTAGATATTATATGCTATCTTTAAGGTCATGTTATTTAAGTTCTCAATTGACATTATTATTTTGAATAATAAAAGGATCTGATTGGTAACAGTTAATTAATAGCTCAGATTTGAACTAATTGACTTAAATATCATTAAAGTCATAAAAACTATTAGTAATTTTTATAATATTTGACAAGTTTTGATAAAACCTGGTGAGCTAAAGTGTATCATCTATATAAACTAAGGCTGAAATTTTTTGTTATATAATATTAGTTTGCTGAATGTGAATGTTTAATTTCCATTAAGCATTTATAATATAACTAAATAAAAATTCGTTAATTTTACATAAGAAAAAGTCATAATAAATATACTATAAGAGAGGCAATATTACTTCTCTTTAATAATATCAGAATATATTAAGTATGTATTAGCAGTGTTATCATGGGATATTGATGGGATACTGATGGGACAGATAGGACATTTGGGATATAGTGTGGGACAGGTTGGGATATATAGCTAGGACAACAAATCTCTGGGACATTAAAAATGTACATCACTGTGTATTAGTATTTCTATAAGAAATAAAAATGATTATAGTATGAAAAAAATTCTAAGGATAATTTGAATAAAAACATAAGAGATTTGTAGTCTCTTTAAGGTTTTTGTTAAAGTAAAAATATTAACTTGATCATATATTTTTAATATATCTTAATAGAAAACTTAAAGATCAGAGTTATTATGAGATTTAATATTATTAATTATTTGAATAAGATCAAATATTGATCTAAAAGGAAAATCTGTAAAATTATAACTTCTTAAAATATTATGTTAAATAAATATCATAGCTAGCCTAGCATTTAATAGTTTAACAAAGTCTTTTTTGAATACTTGAGCAAAATAATCAGCCTTGTATTATTTAAATCAAATTTTCATGATTTTAATTTAGAAATCAGATTTATATAAGTTATATTTTAATGTGAGAAGAAAAAAAAGAAATGTAAATATTTATAAATTATATATCAAAAGCATTTTTTAGCCTTAGATCTAAGATGTTTGAGTATTTCATTAAAGATTTTTGAAGGACTAAAAGCTTTGTTATTAGGTAGTTAGTTAATAAAGTGATATTATTTATTAGATATATGTGACTTTTAATCACAAAATAAAATTTCATAAAAATCATAAAAAGTTATATGATAAAAAAATAAGTAATACTTTAATAAAGCATCAATAATTTTAATAAGTTCTAGTATTTATAGCAAACCTTACATGTGAATATTTTTATGGTTATAAAAAAAAAAACCTTTGGTATTAAAAGCAAATTATAAAAAAAAGGTTAGAATTGTATCATAATAGGAGAAATTGGAATTCTCAATATTTTATTGATAAAAAGAAAATAAAAAAGATAATAAGAAATAATAATATAAGAAAAAAAAATAATAAGAGAAATATATAAAATTAAAAAATAGTATAGCATTATCTTTTATAAAAGAAGTTTTCTATATAACTATTACTTTTCTAATTTATAAAAGGAATAAAGTTTTTAAAATTAAAAAACTTAATATTCTACTATATTAATGTCATCAATTGTCTTCAAATAGCATCTTGTAAAATATTCTATACTTTATCACATATTTGTAGATTTATTAAAATTAATACTCAGTTATATTATTTTCTTTTTATAATTTCTATTTTAACAGAAATTTCTAACATATAATTGAGAAAGTTCTAGTATTTATTAGATTTAAATTGTTTAATTTAGATCAATATCAGAAAATAAATATTCAAAATTTGTTTGCTTTCTAAATTTTTAAAAAGAAAATATATATGAATTAAGTATTGATAATTAAAATATTTCTATATATTTCATCTTATCAAAATCTTTATGAAAAGAAATTAGCATAATAATGCAAAATAACAGAAAAAATATGTCTTTAGATTTTAGAAGATCACTTAGAAATACACTACCTGAAAATAAGTTTGTGCGGTTTTGAAAAAATAGTAAATAAATTTGTGTAGTTTTGAAAAAATAGTTTATTATCATTTTTTTTTTAATAAAATATTAATATCTAGTTGGCCAACCATTATTAGCAATACATGCTTAGATTCTTTGAGGCATACTATCAATTAATTTTAGGTAAGTTTCTTGCGAAATTTTTTTCCATTCTTCTTTTAGTTGCATTTCTAAATCTGCAAGTTTTTTAGGCAGATCTGAATGGTTATGCAATAAACGTTCAAGATGATCCCAAAGATGCTCAATGGGATTCAAATCTGG